GGGACGGGGGGGGCCGGGGGGTGTGCACCTGCAGCAGCAGCAGCAGCAGCACACGCTGGACAGGAATGGCTGTTAACAGGCATCTCTGTGCCAGGAACACTTTGTGTGGCAGCTGCTTTAAATAACCCACTTGTGCACATTGTCCTGCTCACAGCCACTGCTGGGGCTGTGGCACACTCCGCATTAAACACGTTTGTCCCCCTGGTCAGCAGAGAGAGCCAAGGACCCTCCACAGCTCTGCATCACTTGGGATTCCTGAGCCCTGTGCTGGGGCCAAGGGGCAGTGTTGGCCATCAGCCTGACAAGGACAGGGGGGAAAGCAGCGTGTCCCAGCGGGCTGCTGGCCTGCCTGGCTCCATCCCCAGGGAGGAGAGCCCGGTGTTCCCGTGACTGAGCTGGCGGGGCTGCCGATGGTTCCCATCAACACTGTGCCTCGTGCTTTGGAATTCTTACAGCCAGGATCAGCAGACACTGGGAGAGGGGATTGCCCCCAACATCCACTCAGGAATTATTAACTACCACAGAAGTGGGGCAGACCTGCCTGGACAGGGAAGCTCTTTGTGAGCCTGCCCCTTCCCTCAGTGAGATGAAACAACAAAGTGAGAGTCAGTGTGGGCACAGGGGCCTGGGGAAGCTTCACTGGTTCTCACTGTCCCTGCCTGCAGCCCCTGGTACCTCCCCTTGCAGGCTGCACAAAGGGAAGCCCAGAAGAGATGTGATGTGACCAAGGATCAGTAATACCTGTGGCTAGTTCCTGTCTGCTCTTAGGGAAGACCACGAGACCCTGCAGCCATCTGCCCAAGGAGAACCCAATGTAAGTGTGGGTTTGTATCCCAGGACCTGTGTGGGAATGGTGGGGTTGGGCTATCAGCACACAGGGCCAGAGCCTCTGCAGACCAAGGCCATGGAAAAGGGTCCTGACACCCAAAACCAGCCTTACTTGGGTCCGTGGAGAAGAACATCAGCAAAGATCAGCTCTCCTGAGTCTCTTGCATTCTAGCAGAGGGTCTGGATGCTTCTCTTCAGCTCATCAATCTCCTCCTCCAGCTCCTGAATAATCTGAAGAAAGGACATTTCTAAGAGCTCTTTACTTTGCAATAGAAGCAGGATTTAAGTTTTGGAGATAGTACAAACAGCAGAGCTGGAAAACATCCCTCAGGCAATAAACCCCCAACAGCTTCCTGAAACACCTGCTTGTCCTCAGGATGTCCTAATGGGCCACTGGCTCCCAGGGACATGGAGGACAACAGACCCCACTGGGGCAGAGAAAGCCCTCATGCAGGGCAAGCCCTGGGGGTATCCAGCTCTGCTGCACCACGCTGGCTCTTCCCCAGCTCACTCACCTCCCTTTGCCTCACTGTATCATGCCACAGAACGTTGTTGCTTATCGTCATGTGCCCCAGGCCATCCTGGTTCAGCATCATCTCCTGGGTGGGTGAAGAGAAGCAAATCAGCTGAAGAAACTCCCCAGTAACCACCAGCATCAAACCCCACTGGGTGGCAATGCTGTGCCACCAAGAAAACAGTTTCTGCTCAAGTGAGGTTTGGATTCTAGCTCTAGAAATAGTCTGTCATTGAGATCACCTTGTGCTGATCGTGGAGCAGGAACTCAAGAGATCCAGTTCAGTGTCCCAGGGAAAGCTTATTAATATTGCTTGGGTAACTTCTTACCACCTGTGCTTACAAATTCATCCATCAAAGGGCACAGAGGTTCTGCCCCAGAGCAGGCTGCGAATGGAGTCAGGGATTAATACTTCTTAGTGCTCTCAAGCTGCTCACTCAGGTAAAGGGCTAAGCACAGCCTGAGGGCAGGGACTGGGCAAGAGGAGCTGCAGAAGCAGCTCAGCAGTCCCTGCTCTGCAGTGCTGCTGCACAGCTTCCTTTCCTCATGAATGCATTACAGACATGTGTGTGCCACAGTGGTGCCACAGCTCATCAGCAAAGCAGCTACCTGAATACTGTAGTAAACCAGGGAATGTAAAGGCAGGTGAATGCTGGGTCACCCACCTCCATGTGGAAAACTCTCAGGAGCAAGTCTGAGAGCATTTCAACCCATCAAACTACAGTAGAGACTTGGCAATGCTTCACATGTACCTTTCCAGGTTGACAAACAGCTCTGGTGCAGCACCAGGAGGGGAGCAGCAATGCTCTGTTACTCTCTGGGTGCTAATGGGCAATGTGTGGCAGCCTCTGCCTTGTCTCCCAGCTCCCAGAAACTGGTCCCTGTGCTGGGATGTCACATGAACTCCACAAACCTCCACGATTTTCTGTAACAGCGCCTCTTGTTCCTCCTGTGCCTTCTTTCCTCGTTGTTCCGGGATGTGTTTCCCCATTTCTTCTGCCTTCCCTATCTCCTCCTGAGCAGGGCAGGCAGCAGCACACAGAAACAAGAGGAGCCTTAGGCAAGGCCTCCGCAGTGTTCCTTCCTCCCCTGCCCTCTCCTTCCTCCCCAGCACTGCTGCAGGGAAGGGGAGGTCTCAGCACCTTCTGCTGCCACTTCAGTTTCCGGATGCTGTGCTGCAGGAGCATTATCTTGACAGCTTGGTCCAGATAGTGCCCATCGATGTGGGGCCGCACGACCCTGAGCTCCTCCTGGAGAGCCTGCACCTTTGATGTGACGTCCTCCAGCTGCTGCTGTAGCTCTGGTTGGGAGTGAGAACAGAAAATCTCCACTAAGGGCTGCAGAGCTTCGCTTCTGAGCTGAGGAGCCCGTCCTGCCCTTGCCTGAGCCCTTCTCTCTGCAGACGTTACACACCCGGAGGGAAGCAGGAACAGCCACCCCGAGCCAGAACCCCTTGACCAGGTCCTGCCCCAAGGGGGTGGTGCAAAGAGCTGCCGAGGAGGTGACTGTTCCTGCTCCCTGCCCCCAGACCCGCTGCCGGGAAGAACCTCCCCACAGGGAACTGGGATTCATTTTCAGAAATGGAATTGTTTGACATTTATAAGATCAACACAGTGTCTTTACCCTCATGAGATGGAAAGCAAAGGTAACATGGTTGTACAGGCTGCATTTCACAGGAATGTCAGCAACTCATGTTCCAGATTTTTTTCCATTGTTTTTTCCATTTCCTGGAACTCTGCCTTTGCTGTATCCAGCTGGTTCTTATTGAAGGTCTGCACTGTCACCTTCATCCTCTGCACAGGGAGAAATCCAGTCCCTGCTCATTCACAGAGCTCTGAGACCTCCCCCTGCACCATCCCTGACCTTCCTCTCAGCTGCAGAGGAGCCCGTTGCTGGGGCTGGGGCCAGCTCGTGCTGGCTGGAGCTGGGGGCATTATGGATGGGTGGATTTGGGCTGTTGCATGGGCCAGTTACAGTCAGACGCTCTCGTGGCTTTAAAACAGGCACAAAACAAAAGCACCTCACAGGATCTCTGAGCACCAGCGAGCTCCCCCCGGGACTGGGGATGCTGCAGTCCCAGGTGGTGCAGGGGAAGTGCTGACCCTGCTGCAGCACAGGGGGAATTCTGCTGGGCTGGGCCTGTGGGTGAACCCTAAAGCCTCACCTGGAACGCCTCACACTGCTGCAGCAGGCGCCTGGCTTGCCTGGCCGTGCTGTCATCAGTGTCCTGGATCTCCTTCCCCAGCTGGCAGTTGGCCTCTACCAGGCAGGCTCTGCACTGCTTCAGCTTCTCAACAGTGTTTTGCTTCAGACTGGTCACATCCTACAGGAAATTGTGGATTAAAATGTTGTGGATTCCACCAATCCCACCTGCCCCAAGCTTTCTTAGCATCCTCTGCTGTCCTGGGGTGTTCCTGTCTCACGCTGAGGGCAGCTGCACTGCTGGGGCGCCCTGACTGCCCCCCACACCCTGCTCCCACATTCCTTACTGCAGGATCACCATCTCTCTTACCTTTATTATAACCATCTTTAAGGTCCCTTCCGACCCCAACTGTTCTATGATTCTGTGATCTTCCACCTGCTAAAGGCTGTGGTCATGTCCTCAACCTTCTCTTTGCTAGACCAGGACAATCTGATACCAACAGCCCTTTCTAGCAGGTCACATTTCCTAAATCTCATCCCTCCCACTGCTGCAGGCTGGGAGCTCCCTTGGTTTCTCTTAATTGCTCTTGCTTGCATCAGGGTTAGATTCCAGCAGCATTGAGCAGAGCAGTGTAACTACCTCCAGTGGATGAAGAAAGAAGCACCCCCTGTTTTGCAGGGGTCACTGGGCTGCAGAGGCAGCCGGGGGCACCCCTGGATCTGCTGCCTCGGATGTGGGGCACATACCGTGCTGATTTTGATCTCTTCTTCCAAGGTTTCAGCTAATTCAGCCTTCCTGAGGGCTAATTCCTTCTGAGAGTTCCCTTGGGGTGATGGTGTCTCTGAAAGCAAAGGTGGTTTTTTACTCAGTGTAAATGCAAGTGGTGAAACAGAAACAAACCCAGGCCTGTGCTTATTTCACAGCCCAGTTTCAACCTTGCACCTGCTCTCTCATGTCATATGTGGCTGAGGGACATATAAAGAGCTGAGAGACTGAATTCGAACGTTCTACAGCCCCAGGGAAAGCCACTGGCAGGGACAGCCCAGGAGCTGAGCCCACAAAGCTCTCCCTGGCCTTTTCTAGTCCTCCCTCTTTGCTCCCAGCATTTCCCTTTGGGTGATTTTCTTTCTGTGGCTTTTGCTGAATGTTTCTCAGGAGAAAGCACTGGGTAAATGCACAAGTGGCACCAGTGGCAGGGGCAGCAGGGCAGCGTGCAAGGGAATCTCTCCTGACCTGGCTTGTTCTTCTTCTTTCCTTTCTTCTTCTTCTTCTCATCAATGAATGGTGGCAAAGTCAACCCTTGGGCTGGAGATCCCTCTCTGCTGCTGCCTTCTGCTGCTTGCTGTAATCCTAAACTCAGCACGACAGTAGCACAGAAAAGACAAGGAGTCAGAGGAGGTTTGGGAGCAGAGTGCAAGGGAATCTCTCCTGACCTGGCTTGTTCTTCTTCTTTCCTTTCTTCTTCTTCTTCTCATCAATGAATGGTGGCAAAGTCAACCCTTGGGCTGGAGATCCCTCTCTGCTGCTGCCTTCTGCTGCTTGCTGTAATCCTAAACTCAGCACGACAGTAGCACAGAAAAGACAAGGAGTCAGAGGAGGTTTGGGAGCAGAGACGTCCCTGAGCTGACCCCCACTTCCACCCACTGCTCCTCTGGGGCTCCCAGGTGCCCCCTTCGCAGCCCGGAGCAGCAGTGCCCAGGCCTGCGGGAGGTGCAGCGCTCGCAGCCGCAGCGCTGTACGTGCCCTGAGCCGCGGGGACAGGGACTCGCTGCTCTCCTGACCCCTGCCACCGCGCTCGGGTCTGGGCTCTGTGCATGCACCTCCCTACAGGCTCTGGGAGGAAAAGGCACCATCCCCTGAG